TACCGTGCCTAGTAGTTTCTACCCCATAATTAAGCATTACATCACGCGATACAAACACACTCGCACACTGACTCACACCACGCATCACTTTCTCAAACCTCGCACCTCAAGCCAATTCCTGCTCATTCTCAACTTTTCCACCACTACCGCGCCCGCGTAAAACGCATCAGGCCAACGGTCTTCTGACCTCGTCAGGCATCGACACCCCGTCGGGTCGGGCATCGTCACCTCGTTAGGGACGGCATCGTCCCGCGTAAACGAACACGCCTCAGGACGGAATCCTATACACACTTTCCTTCTACCGCGCCCGCGTAAAACGCATCAGGCCAACGGTCTTCTGACCTCGTCAGGCATCGTCACCCCGTCGGGCCGGGCATCGTCACCTCGTCAGGGACGGCATCGTCCCGCGTAAACGAACACGCCTCAGGACGGACCTTTTTCCAACCAGTCCTACACACCTGTACCTTCGTTCCATTCATACCACACGTACCACACGACCACAGACACACAATCACACACCTCACACACACTTCACAAACACACGTTTTCATCACACGAACACATCACACCGCCACATACATTTGGCACGCAACCTCAATGCATGATAACATCGGCACACCTCACGATCACACCCATGGCACACACGGCCACACACAGCATACACGGTCACACATACACTGTCCGAAACACAATCCAGACCAACCCACAATCACCATTCGTGCAGTCATTCAATTAAGCCTAATCAAGCCATAACAATTCCAATCAATCACACAATTTAATCCTGATCGAACCACAACATCACAGCCCTAACTTAGTCTCCTAAACCTCGAAATTTCATCGCCCAATTAGCCCACAACCACCAAACAACCAGCCCCTAACTCAGTCCCCAAAAACAGCCACAAAACAGCCACAATTTTACCTAAATCGAGTCCTAAACGAGCATAGAAATACCCGAGATCCTAAGTGGCGATTGGGGAAGTCACTTACCTAATAAAAATAGGGCAAGCTGGCTGGATGGTGGCCAGAACAGAGCAGCAGCAGCAGCAGCAGCAGCAACAGCGCCGGCGACCAAGCAAGCGAGCGGCTGAGCTGCCTTGGGCGGGTGGCTGGCCGGCGGCAAACGGGTTGCTGAGGGTGGCGTCCAGGTCGTACAGGGCAGGGGAGGACGGCCAGGGGTGGCTCGGCGGCAACGGGGCTGATCGGAACAATAAAACCGAGAGAGAAAGAGGGACAGGCGGACGGTGGGGCGGACGGAAAAGAAGAGGAGCAGCGGGCGACTGGACTGGGCGGCGACCGGCGGCGGCGAGCTGGTGGCCGGCCTTGCTGGGCTCACACATGGGGAGAAGGGAGAGAGAGAGCAAGCCGATCGGTGGGGGGGTGAGGAGAGAGAGAGAGAGAGAGAGAGAGAGAGAGAGAGAGAGAGAGAGAGAGAGAGAGAGAAAGAATATATAAATCTACCCCCAATAATTCACCCCGGAAATTACCAAAATACCCTTCTCACTACTTTCCGATCCAATGGCCACGATTCAATCTCATCCAAAATCCGACGGCCCACGCTTGATCTTGCCCAAAAAGTCAAAGGGCAATCTTGTAATTATCCAAAAAGGTGAGAGGCATTCTTGTCCTTCATAATTTCGGCCACATTGGGTATTTCTCAGTCCCCCGACTTAATCCAGTCCTTAAAATTCATTCGCGGTCCCAGGGGCAAAACGGTCATTTTTTCGGTCCCGGGTCGAAATTTCATTTTTCGCCCGTACCAACCCCAAATAGATGTGGCCAGCATAATATGGCGTTGGATTCTCAAAAATAGTCTCTTAAGCCCTCGAAAATCAACTTCGAAGTCCGGAGGGCAAAATTGTAAATTTTCACTTCCGGGTTGAAATTCATTTTTTTGCAGAAATGGGTGGCCCCAAGGTTGGCCAAGCCAAAAACGTCATCGGCCGCTCGAAATTGTCACTTTCAAAATTCTCGATTCCCGAGCCCGAATTCCAAGAAATTACTAAAATCGAACAATCGCAACTTTAGCTTATCTCTGGCTAACGGGTGGCTCATTGGGATTACGCGCTCTCGACCCGTGACCGACACCAAGTCAATTCACGTTTAAGTTTACTTTACCCGGGACGACCTCGGTTGTCATATAATTGCGAGGGTCTGTCGCTAGTTCCTTTCGGACACGATCAATCAAATAGATCGGTCTCGGTTGGCTCAAAACATTCCCTCGTCAATCGATATGGTCGAAGGTCGAACTCAGGTCGAGTTCTTTGGTCGTACGAATTCAATCCCGTAATAGCCCTACCCCTAAGGTTAGCATCCCGAGAATGCGCTGTTCCGGGTGAGATCTCACTATAGTGCATTGATCAATATTCATTTCCTAAATCCCGGGAAAATGATCGAAAATTCAGACTGTTATACCTAGTGCGTATAGTTCGACTTTTGAGAAATTTGTTTGGAAAAATGTGAGGAAATTTATGGGAGTTTTTTCAAATATAAGTAATGTTTGATAAATTATAATTTAAAAATATATTATGAAGCAACTTTGATTTAAATGATGTTTCAAAAAATAACTAGCGGTCGCATGACTTCAACCGAGGGCCGTCGAAGGTTTTGCGAGCCTAGACAACGGTAGCGGGGGTTGCGCAACCTCGGGCTACGTCACCAGGGCCAGGGTCACGCGAGCTCAAGCGCGGCCTCGCCAACAACCAAGTCTAGCCTCACCAATGGCCTAAGCCCTTCGCCGACAACCTTATGTGAGATTAGGACATTTTCCAAATTATGAAAGTTTAGCAAGCGCAAAGTTGGAAGAAAAAAAAAATTAGCATTATGAAAAATGCTCAAATCTCAAAGTATCTTCGAACCGCCTTGAGTTAAAGGCCTTTGGGAATACAATTATATATCCCCAAAACTCCTTTAGAATCCAAAACCCACTGGAGATGTTCCCAAACGCATCCTTAATCCACGTAGGGACTGAAAATCCATGAAATCGAAATGCTTACTTAATCTGATTTAGGTCCAGCACATGATCTTAACCCGATTAAGGCTCTGTTTGTTTTGCAGAAAATGATTGATTTGGAAATTATTTCCTATCACTTGTATTGCTTATAAAAATGAATGAACCAAAAAATATTTCATCATTTGTAAAATGTTTTAGACATAAATTGTTATCCATAATGAAAATATTTTTTATTGACTAATTATTTCAAGTGATTACTTTTAGGAAAATAATTTTCAATTTATTCATCTTCCGCAAAACATAAACATATGCACCATAAATGAATATTCTCAGTGTTTAAGAATTAAATTTTGAGCTCCTTAGACTTTTCATTTTCGTAAGTATTAGACTTCTATTGCAATTCCCTCGACATACTGCGTTACTCTCACCAAACCAATAGGTTATCAAACTCTGTGAGGAGTACTAGAAGTAGGATCTACAATTGATTATGATTCCGTCATATTTTATGTCTATGATTTGTGATATAATTTGTATAGCAACCAAAATATTTTAGAAGGACGAAAATATGTATTTTATTCAAAGATAATGAAAACTTATTAAGTCATGTCAGTTTCGAATCAATCATGACTTATTAAATTTGAATTTCGCACTATAAATGTTTATCACGTCCGATTAGTGTTTTGAATCAATTTTTTTTCCTGCCATGTTTTTCCGAAAACTCAGATGGAGTTTTAGTTGTGGCCTCGGTTATTTATGCGTCATCCATGATGACAAATCCAAAAATGCCAAATTGGAGTCCAAATTCAACTTGGCTTTTCCCTTTGAACGACAAGGCAGATAGCAAATGTATGTTGCAGAGACAGAACTCGCAGCCGACAGCACACATTCTAAATCTATGTTGCAGCTCGACGTGTCTCCTCTTCATCCTGCACTGGCTTCTCAAGATCACTCAAATTCTCTTGGTAAAATTTCAAATAATAGCCTGAAATGCTCTTATTTTTTTAAATAAAAGCATGAAATTGATCTTGTTTAAAAAAAAAAAGGCTTGAAAAGACGGTTTCAAATAAGGGCTTGACCTCACCGATTGGCTTAATATACCGACCGATCAATGGCATTTTCGTCCAAAGACAATTTTAACCTTAATTTTTATTAAATTGGATTAAAAATTAAGAAATTTAAAAGTTTTTTAAAAAGGAAAAAAATACAGACTGGAGGGCTAGGACATCGGCCATTGCCGGTGGGGTTGCTGGCACCTTGGCGAGGGCTAGAGCTGAGAGAGGGCTACAACCCTCGACCAGACTTGTGCGATGGCTGGCGACTCTCGCCCCCCTCTCTTGGTTCTAACGAGGGCCTACCGACCCTCACCCTAGGTCGGCGAGGGTTGTCGGCTATGGCCGATGCCTCACTGACGATGGGGCAGAGGCCACAAGCAGAGGACCTGGTTTTTTTTGTGTGTGTGTGTGTGTGTTTTTTTTTTTTTAAGTTTTAGCCTTTTTTTCCTTTTTTGAGTTTTCTTCATTATGGAAAAAAGTTTTGGATTTTTTAACCTAATTTAATTAAGATTTTGTGTAAAAATTAGGATTCTAATCAAAACGACATCGTTTTTGTTGCCAACAAGGGTCACCCAAGTGAGGCCAGCCCTCGCCTGTGGCTTTCGAGGGCGGCCTCGCCCGGCCTTCTATGGGTATCGCTGGTGGCTGGTCATCGCTTGAGACCGGCCATTGGCGAAAAGGAAAGAAAAATAGAAAAAGGAAAAAAGAAAGAAAAAAAGGAAAATATAAAAAAGTAAAGAATTAAAATGCCCTTGACCAGCTGGTGAGGTGAGGCCCTTTTTTTAGACTAACATGATCACTTCATATCTTTATTTTAGAAAATGAAGACAATTCGAGCCTTTATTTGAAACAAAGTCCACTTCAAATCCTTATTCGAGAAAAACACTCTTATTTGGAATTTTCCCCATTCTCTATCATGCGATCTCTTGTGTTTTCTCTCTACTGCTATATATACCCATTAGAGATAGATAGCCAAGAGAGAAGAAACAAGAGAGAGACTTAAGATCAGGATGGACAACATGCAGAGACCCATCAAAGTTATGATGCTGCCATGGCTTGCTCATGGTCACATATCACCATTTCTAGAGCTAGCAAAGAGGCTCTCCACGAGAAACTTCCACATTTACTTGTGTTCCACTCCTGTCAACCTTAGCTTCATCAAACCCAAGATTTCCGAGAAATATTCATCTTCCATTGAACTTGTCGAGCTTCACCTCCCATCTCCGCCCGAACTCCCTCCCCATTATCACACAACCAAAGGCTTGCCTCCTCACCTCATGAACACCCTCAAGGTGGCTTTTGACATGGCGAGCCCCGTCTTCTCTGATATCGTCAAGAGCCTGGGCCCCAATTTGCTCATCCACGACTTTCTCCAACCGTGGGCAGCGGAAGCCGTGAAATCTCACGGCATGCCATCGGTCGTCTTCTTCAGTATTGGTGCGGGGACGCTATCTTTTATTTTCCATATGGTCAAGAACGCCGGCAGTAAATTCCCCTTTGAAGCAATTCGCCTTCATGATTACGAGCAGGCAAAACTCATCAAGGTGATGGACGACTCCGCAGTCCGCGTGAAGGACAAAGATAGGGTTCTACAAAGTGTTGAAAGGTCCTCGAATTTCATCTTGTTGAAGACCTTCAGAGAGCTGGATGGGAAATACATGGATTATCTCTCAAGTCTCTTGGGGAAAAATGTGGTGCCTGTTGGTCCACTTGTGGAAGACCCTAGCAACATAGAAGATGGAGATTTTGAGTGGCTTGACAAGAGAGAGAAATCTTCTACTAATTTTGTGTCATTTGGTTCTGAATATTTTCCCACTGAGAAAGAAAGAGAAGAGATTGCTTATGGATTGGAGCTTAGTAATGTCAACTTCATTTGGGTCATTAGGTTTACTGTCGGAGAGAGCACTGAGCTTGAAGAGGCATTGCCTGAGGGTGTTTTTTGAAAGAGTGAGAGATAGGGGATTGGTGATAGATGGATGGGCACCACAAGGAAAGATTCTGGAGCATCCAAGCATTGGTGGGTTTGTGAGTCATTGTGGATGGAGCTCCATCATTGAGAGCATGAACTCTGGGGTCCCGATCATCGCAATGCCGATGCAACTCGATCAGCCGTTAAATGCTCGGACGGTCGAGGAGATCGGAGTCGGATTGCAGGTGAAGAGAAATAAGAGCGGAGAGCTTGAGAGATTGGAGATAGCGAAGGTGATCAAAGATGTGGTGGTGGAGAAAGATGGAGAGAGTGTGAGGAAGAAGGCAAAAGAAATGAGCTACAGCATTAGGAACAAAGGAGAGGGAGAATTAGATGAAGTGGCTGATGCGTTGGTCCAACTTTGTGTGGGAAATAAAGAACAATATGTGTCGAAATGAAGCCATGTTAGACGTATGTGAATGGGTATGGGGTGCGTCTATAGTCCCCTGAATGTGACCTTGTCATCGTAGTGCTGTCCAACATTTTTAGGATGTCTAATAAGTTGGCGTTGGTTACTTTTATTGAAATAGTTATTTTTTTTTGATGACCCGAGAACCACCGTACAGCCGACAGCCGGCGACGTAAACCCGGGGTGACGCTAGCGTAGGACCCACCACCACGGCGCCACACTTAAGAATCCCTAACGACTACGCTGGGATTCGAACTCCCCACCCTTCGTGAGGGGCAGAGAGCGCGAAGCATTCTATAGGATCCTATAAAAGTAATGAGACAGCAGAAAAACCCGTGTTTATATATATATCCGTATACTAATGTATTTACGATTATTTCCGGAAGTTGCATCTGTTTACCTTTGTCAAACAATCAACTTTTCGTGTCGAGAAGTGGAAGTATAATAGACAACGCGCGAGTGATCATAAATTGTAATTGCATTTAATCTAGCCTTTCCAAAGCGCAGCATCATAATGCGAATTACTACAATTGAGTGCATACTCGGTGATCCTATAGATTAATAAATGTTGAATGGATTATAAGAATTTGAACTATAGATTTTGGTTTTAATATCATTGATTTACTTGTCCTAAAAGCGTAATTATTAAGCAACGCTTGGGATTAATATAGAGTCTGGATATAATATAAGTTATTATCTATGTATCCAGCTCGGCAACCGGCTAGAGGAAGAAGGGAAGAAAAAAAGAGAGAAAGAAAAAAAATTATAAATAAAATTAGAAAACATATTAAAATATGATTAAAAATTATTCACGTTAGCGCTGACCGAATCACCTAGGACGGTCGTCGTCCATATCAGCGATTTTCGATCAAAATTGGTCGGATAGACTTAATTGACACAAATGCAAACGGTTTAGGACTCAATTGACCAAAAAAAAAAGTTTAGAACTGAATTGACACAATTACAATAAGATTTATGCATTTTTTGGTAATTTTGCTTGCAAGTGGCTACTAAATATAGTAAATCACCCTGTGTGGACCACGATCAGGCTGCCTACGTAGCTAGCTTCTCTCTATTTTGGAGGCAAATACTTGTGCTCACTCCAGAAAATGACATGGTACCAAATAATTTCTTCCATTATTAATCCTAATCTCATGTCTTCAGTGTGTGGCAACCCATCAAATCAAAGTGCGTAGAAATCCTTGAATATAATATAAATGCCGTCTACTCTCACATGAAAAGAAGAAGGTTACAAACTTTGCAAAACGCCATATTTCTCATGGAATTCAAGTGACGACCGAATCTCTCCCGAATATGCCATTTTGTAAATGCCAAATCCTACTCGGACTCGTCCTTTTCGTTTGGGCAGAGACGAAAGTGTCTTGATCTGATATCTCATATATGTGTGAAGGAAGAAATGTAAAAGAAAAAAGCAAAAACCCAAGGCAGATGATCAAACACCAAATCCTGAGAGCCAACAATAATAAGCCGAGAGAGTCACACACACGAGAAAACTTATATCGACCATGGCTACGACAAGAAGAACTATTAGGGTTCTCATGCTTCCATGGCTTGCTCATGGTCACATATGTCCATTACTAGAGCTAGCCAAAAAGCTCTCACGGAGGAACTTCCACATCTTCCTATGTTCAAGTCCTGTCAACCTTAGTTCCATCAAAATCCCTCGTGAATATTGTTCCACCATTGAGCTGGTGGAGCTCCATGTCCCATCTTTACCTGATCTCCCTCCTCAATACCACACAACTAGGGGCTTATCGCCTCACCTCATGCCGAAACTCTGGATGGCCTTCGACATGGCGGGTCCTAACCTCTCTGACATCATCGATGATCGCCAACCCCATTTGCTTATCTTTGATTATCTCCTACCGTGGGCGCCCGAAGTCGCGAGGTCACGCAGCATCCCGGCGATCGGCTTCTCGAGCGTGGCAGCAGGGATGAACTCGTACATAATCCACTCCATCAAGAGGCCCAGTGATGAGTATCCATTCAAGGCGATTTGTCTTAAAGACTATTGGATAGCCAAGGATAGGAACCAAATGAAACAAGCATCGAAGAGTGGCATCAGCTACATGGAAAGGGTCGTGCAATGGAACGAGCAATCGTCGGGCCTAATCTTCATGAAGACCTTTATGGAATTGGAGGGCAAATACGTTGACTACCTAAATGATCTTTTGGGGAAGAAAGTCGTGCCAGTCGGCCCTCTAGTTGAAGAACCTCTCCAAGAGGATGGGAATCACATAACTGAGTGGCTTGATCAAAAAGTAAGATCGTCGACCATATTCGTGTCCTTTGGCACGGAGTACTTCCTCACGGAGAAGGAAAGAGAAGAGATAGCTTATGGGTTGGAGCTTAGCAATGTCAACTTCATTTGGGTGGTTAAATTTCCGGTGGAAGAGAACATCAAGCTTGAAGAGGCACTTCCTAAGGGATTTCTTGAAAGGGTGAGAGATAGAGGACTAGTGATAGAGGGATGGGCACCACAAACTAGGATTCTAGCACATCCAAGCGTAGGTGGATTTGTGAGTCACTGCGGATGGAGTTCGGTCATGGAGAGCATCAAGTTTGGGGTCCCGGTCATCGCGATGCCGATGCATCTCGACCAGCCGTTCAATGCGAGGCTCGTCGAGGACGTCGGGGTCGGATTGGAGGTGACGAGGAACGAGAGTGGAGAGCTTGAGAGAGAGGAAATTGCGAAGGTGATCAAGGCTGTTGTGGTGGAGGAAGGTGGGAAGTGTGTGAGGAATAAAGTCAAAGAAGTGAGTGTAGGCATTAGGAATAAAGGAGATGAGGAGATTGATGAAGTGGAGTATGCGATTGTGCAGCTTTGTGGAGTGTGAAGTGTTAAAAAGATATCGTTTAGACATTAAGAAAGTATCATCGATATCTCATATGTTCTGCAAGTAATTTAAATATCTAGCATAATATGTGTATCTTGTGCGTGATCGGATTTGCTTATAGAATTATAATGGAATATTCACCGAATTTTCTGTGATTTTGTTTGATGCTTATACATAGGCCACAAATGTGATATTGAATTAAGTAATTCATTCGTTCCATTATTTTTCTAATTTTTTTCATAGCTAGGCAACCTTGAGGAAATTTTGAGTGTCCTCGGTGCACAGCCGAATACCCCTGCCAAGTCAATACACCTGTTCATAACCATGCGTCTGTCTTCATAAGTTCTCTCTACCAACAGGGCCAAACAAGTCCTATAGGCCTCACCATGTACAATATCAACCTTGTCACATTGGTCATACAGTTGACATCACAAGATGTCCCTCATTGCGTGCTTTACAAACAGTGTTTCACTATTTTGAATCGTTTACTTGAAGGTTAATCCAAATCGTACTCACTTTCAAATGATGTAGTCGTCCTCTAGTATCGCTTACCTATAAGCAAAACTCCGTGGTGCTGGCTTTCAAACGATGCTAGTTATCATCTATTCTCACTGTTTACTGAAGAGCTCGTTAGGACAATACTTGCTTTTCAAACGATGTTATCGCATACCGACATCATTTATTGAAAAAGCTAATGTTGATTGCACTAGCTTTTCAGGGCACTGTCTACCCAAAAGTTTTGCAAAATTGGGTGATCCTGCGAAGTTATTTCCAAACTCAAGTTAATGTACATTACCAACTCGAGTTTGAGGGGACGTATTAAAAATATCTTTCAAATAGCATGGAAATATCACTCATACATCATATATTATGTAAATCATTCAGGTATTAGCATATTATGTATATCTCTTACGTGGTCGGATTTGTGTCTAGATTCATGAAATGGAATTTTACATTGAATATCTTTTTATCCTGTTTGATGCCTCTAAATACCCATGATTGTAATATTGAAGTTAAGCAATTCAATCATTCCATTATTCTCGTTTTCTAAGTTGAACGTGAAGAATGGAATAGTGACGTGTAACGTTTGACTGTTCGTTGAGGTTTGGTAGGTCTTGTGATTTATTCGATGATTGTGGAGATAGAGTAGCAACAAAAGATTGCACGGCAGCTTTCATACTTTTGTTATGCTGAGGTCAGATGTTTATCTCGATCTTTTTCCTAGAGTAGCTTGTTTGTTCGATTGCTATCCATTCGAACTTCCCCCATCTATGAGAGAAGAATCGAGTTCTTTTTGGTACAATAAACATGAAATATAAATCGCCAAATCCAATCATAATGATAACTTCTTATTTAAAATCACGATGATTCATTATATTTCTTCTTTTCGATATTCATCAAGACGCAGCTACACATGAAAGTGACGCTAATCACTCTTGGATCGCTTGTTCGAAAACCACAATGGTTTATATTCGTACGAAGAGAAAATGCTATCAAAATATTACGTCCACAGTTGCCAGCCGTCGAACTTGGACATATGGAACTTTCTAAACTAAAAAAGAAAAAAATCAATCTTGATTCCTTAAGCTGAAAAAAAAAATAGATGGGCAAATAAAATGAATAAAGTAAGGTAATATACTTTCACCCAACATTCGAGTGAAAATCAAAGAGAGTTTGAATAGATTCTTCGCTGGATATTCCCTACACAACGAAGCTAATCCCATAGCAAACTTTCACATTCTACACAAGTGAACTTATTAGCATACTATAAAACGACCTTAAGCGACAACTATAACTGCAACATCTTATGGAGTGTTGTCTTAAAAGTTTTGGCAATAATGCTTAAACTGTTGCCTTACATTGAAAACGATAGGCAATTGAAGATACCCTTTGAAAAGTGTTGCCTAAAGTTTTGAGCAACGCATTATTAGAGTACTAATGTTTACCTGTCCATTAGATGATGATTGGGTCCTTTTCAAGGTGGTGGTGGATTGAACTTTACACATACTTTGAACCTTGCTTTTCTTTTTCTCTATTTATAATCAGTTAAATGCATATCATAAGTTGGATGATAAAGATTTGGGGTGCACCTAGGCCTACTCAGCACCGCAAATGCATCTATTCAAATTTAGATATGGGTCGATGGAACTAATAAAACTCGCACATACTAGAAAACTTTTTTCCAACCAGTTTTTTGATCGGTGAACAGACTCATATTTGTATGTGGATGGTATTCATAACTTGTAATCTATCATTTGTTACGAATATTACATTACTACTCTCCTAACAAGTAATCTACCAATTGAATGCATAGTTGGTGAAAGTTTCCTCCAACTAGGGATGCGGGAAATATAGTCCCAAAAATAAATGTGGGGATAGCCATACTTGTATCTTAACAATTGACGATTTGTTGGAGGAAGTTTCTACCAACTAGGAATGACGGAAAGAGTCCTATTTTGTCGTAGAATTTACTAAAAAAATACTCATATCCAAACCCTAACCTTAACTCTCTCTCTCTCTCTCTCTCTCTCTCTCTCTCTCTCTCTCTCTCTCTCTCTCTCTCTCTACTTTGTCGTGGAATTTACACCAAAGTACCGACACCAGGACATTATCGATAATTTAGTTTGCTACTTAAGAATTCAAATTACAAATATAGGCATGCCTGCGATTTGCACGTTTCGGATATCTGATTATTGTCAAGCCTCAGTTACAACACGTTACATTATTTAATTTATAGTTTTGTAGTCCAATTATAGCATGTCTAGCATCAGGTCCTTCCGGATGACGTTGCCATCTTTTGTCATTTCGAATACATCATTATCCTATATTATCATGGAAATATGACATTTCCGAATGGCACAAAAGGTTAAAAACAAAAAGGTCTAAGTTCATTGAAAGTTCTAAAACTTATCATGAAAGTGCAATTGAGTCATAAAACTTGCAAAAAGTGCAATCTAGTCCTAAAACTTGTTAAATTGATTCAATCGAGTACTTTCATTAACTCCAGTCCAATTTGGCTAACGGAAAATGCTAACTTGTCTTATTTTATTGCTTTTTAAAGACACGTGGCGATGATGTGACGCCCACCAAGCATCACGTCAGAAAAATATTTAAAAAATAAAAAATCTAAACTAAAAAATGTTTAAAATAAAAAACTCACTCTTGGCTTGGCCAAGCCCTCGCCGGTGGCCGCCGCCATAGCCGCCAGGGGCCGGCAATGGTCGCCCGGGCCTTCCCGAAGCCCGGCGACCCTTGGTGGCCCTAGGTGAGGCCTTGGCAGCCTCCGGCGAGGGCCTGCTGGCCTAGATCTGGGGGAGGGCGCGATAAGACTATACTGTCACGCCCCGAACCCTACGAAGCGCAACATCTCTGCCGAGGTCGAACTTGTTCAACGTCCTAGGAAGCGTTGCCGACCCAAAACCCAAACAGAGATCGAGACACATGCGGAAGTAACATAAACACCCGTACAAATAAAACAACACGAGATCAAGGATAGCACAACAACAAACAACGGGATAACTAATATACACTTGTATTAACCAGGGAAACATATACAATATCCATTTACAGCGAGCACCAAAACCAAAAGCGGCAACGTTCACCACTAACAAAAAGGGGTAAGTGGCCCGGGTGGTAAGACTACTAACTAAGGTTGGGCTTCGATCAAAAAGGTACTGGCCCGACCTATCTGAGCTAAGGCTAACCCTAGGGAACCCAATCAGGGTCGGATCCCGAGAACTCGGAAGATGAAGAACTGTCAGACAGCTCCACCTCGGAGTCTAGGGAATCCAGCTCGGACTCGGCCTCTGCTGGCTCCTCCTCAGAGTCCATCTCCTCAGGCTCGCCCTCCGGCTCAAGGTCCTCCTCTATAGGCTCCGGCTCCTCATCCGGCTCCATCGGCTCCGGATCAGAGTCCCAATCTACTGGCTTCTCGTCCATCGGGTCAGGCTCATCCACCTCCCAAACGACAGGTCCGGCGCCAGAACTCGAACTCCCCTCGGGCGTAGCTTCGGGGCTCACTAGGTCTCCGTCAGCACACTGTGGGTCCACCTCGCCCAGCCCGTTAAACGGGACATCAAAAGTCCGAAGAGGTCCATACTCCCCGGAGTAGTCTCTAAAACACCAGGCTATATACTCATGGGTCTCGAAATGCGTTTTCCCCACATCAACCCATACCAAAGTATAATACCTAATATACATTTCCCCGTTCCCTACGGGGTACACGGACATCGTCTTCTCTATATGATGTGGAATCCCAAAACGTACCGGAACTTCTGACATCTTCAGGGCCGGGAGTCTGAAACATTGGGTTTTAACAGCAATGAGACGAATCTCAGCGAGCAAAACCCCCTAAACCTAAACTAGGCTAACATGCACCTCCTAACAGGCATACAAAGTACATACAACTAGCAATAATTGACAATCAACTGACCTAGGCCCTCGGGCCTAGATCGAGCACACAATTAACCCTGCAGGTTAGGCAGTTCATAAAAATACTCATGGTACATACGCGATCTCACTTAGTCACACATACGCCATACGCATGCTCATACTTATTAGTGCCTGCTTCACATACGAGTCACCGGTACGCACATGCACATACTCATGTTCTGGCTCAATAATGCACACTGGCATACGGTTCATTTCTCAATTAGAGTTCGACCCGCGTAAAATGCATCAGGCCTAACAATCAATACCAACACTTCATGGCCCGCGTAAAACGCATCAGGCCCGGTGTCTCTAGCCCGCATAAAACGCATCAGGCGCAACACTGATCTCCATATACGGACCAAAACCCGCGTAAAACGCATCAGGCTGGCCGTCTTCCGGTAAAATCGGGTACTATCCCGCGTAAAACGCATCAGGACTCATAATGATCACACGTTCACACCACCAATTTTATCTGAACCCCGCGTAAAACGCATCAGGGCAATTAGGTGATCACATGCTCATGTCAGGCACTCATACTCGCACAATTCCCGAATCAAGCCAATGTTCAATCATGTGAAATACATGGCCATGCAATCCAGCACTCAGGCAATCACACAATGCACAATGAACATCCAATTTCAACTCAGGCACGTAGTCAATCAATGCCAGGACATAATCAATAAATGCCACGACATGCTCATATTAATCACAATA